CCCCCAAAACCCCAAAACCCCAAAACCCCTAGGTAAGATTAAATAACTGAAAGATCTATTTTAGGTGCTCATAGAATGAAGATGGTACTTATTGAGGCAGACCAGTATTGACTGCTTCCATGAAGACTATACACTTTTACATCTCTGTGTTATATCCAGTAATACATTGCTACATCCCCTGAAGACGAGGATGATCAGAGGTTGGGTAAAAAGAGTATACAATAAGTCTATTTTAGTTGTGGGTTTATTTCTACTGAACTATTTTACGAATTTACCCCTTTTCCTTCGAATTAGCTTATCATTTAATTATAGGATAATACTATTAGGTTGAACTGGGCGAATTATGAGTTTTATGGCTTGACTAACCCACATTTGGAGGAAAGTCATATTTCTCAACCAAGAGGAATCAGATGTAGAGGAGTGCTTAAGTCGATGCCAAATTGAACATTGAGCATCAGTTAAATCCTATCTTCCCTACTAGCTTGTTTCTCACTTTATGTCAGACTAGAAATTCTGACCATATATTCTTCTATTTTGAGGAAGTCCTAGACTTCTGATCTTGCAAACTACTCCTTCATTCTCTGAAGAAGCAAGATAGTGCAAATCAATTGATTTTCAGCAGAAAAGGTCTCTTAGATTAGGTAGCTTCTGAATTTTAAGTTATGAAAATTTGATTTCTGAAACCTCTGATTATATCTCTCTTTCCCATAAGGATGAAAATTCTGAGAAGATCAGCAAAAATTAAGTTAGTCATGCATCATGGCCTGTGGGATCTCAAAGGAAGTTAAGAAACTTCAGCATCTGTCTGACCATAGATTTTAATAAATTAAGTGCACCCTTCAAATTAGATTATTCAAATTATGCTATATCGGAATTAGCCTTATGGATAACAAGTGACTGCTTTTTTATATCAGCTATTTCATGGCAGATATTATTTTGAACTTTTCAGACATGCTAGAGCATCCCATGAGTATATCATCCGATAAGATCATAAAAATGGTACTTTGAGCGTTTGAAACACCTACTAAATATTTGCCAAAATATATATGTGACAGTACAAAATGTGTCCTATCCAAATGATCTCTAGTACATCAGCTACTAAATTTGGGTGCACTTTATGTTAACAAAATCAGATCGTTCATCCAAAAATTATGAATATCATAAAAGAGTATATAAGAATATTTGTTAAGAGTACATCTTTAGATGAGGATATGGGGAAGGCTCAATTCCTGATCCTAAGCGTTCTGAAGAGTAGGAATTATATCCTTATAATCGCTAGTACTTATCTATAATCACAACTAAAGTACCCCATTGTTTGGTTAAAATCTTCTTTGGTCAGACATCCATTGAAGGTTTCCTCAGAATAGAAGTTTTCTTGTCCATGAATATTCTGGTAAATTCACTTTTAGAAATTATGAGTTGTTCAGATCTTCTTTCGGTAAACATTGAGCGGAGTTACTAGTATCTGGTCTACTTTATAAATGAAATATGAGTCAGAGCAATGATTTATTGGGGAGAGTGGAACTGAAATACCTCAAGCAAAGACATTTCGTTTTGCGAGGAAGCGACCAACACTATATAAGCTAATTCAGGTTCAAGCTAAGATGTCCTTAAGTTCTTACATTTCTGGGGTTGAAGCTTGCAAGGTTTGATATTTAGCTTTTGCAGTAGGATTGGCTTAACATGAAATTCATCAAATTTCGGAAGCCACTATGTCTGAAATTTCAATTTTTGAAAATTTTGTAATGTTAAGAAAATGAACTTATTATTGGAAATATTTCATTGATGGTAGTAATCAGATTAAGATCTAAGCACCAGCATTGATAAACTCATAAGATTAGTCCAGCCTTGTCTCGGTCATTGCTATAAAATTCTTCATAAATTCAGATCAATCAGACAAGATTGTTTGAATTTATTCCAAATTTTTTCTCGAATTTAATCATGAAAATTAAAAAAATAGAAGGGGCATTTTTGGTTTTTGGAGTGGAGCCTTTAATAATATGAATTTTCTGATGGCATCTCAAAGCTTCTCAGAACTTTCCAAGAGATTGTTCAAAATGATCTAATGCTTATGCTCTCTCATATTCTTGCTAAATACTTCATCTTCATGTTAATTATAGCCCAATATGATAAAATCGAGAAAAATTATTTTAACAGAAAATTCATAACACGATTATTGAGAAATTTTTATTTGAAATTCTGGTTTATCTTCTAGTTTATGACTCCACCATCTGTTGCAGAGCTTCCAGGTTCTCCCTGTATGCCTCTTCATTGCTTGAGAATGTTGGATCCTTCCTCATCATATCCTCCATGTAGCCTGTCTCCACGAAGCTACTGAAGATAACCTGGAAAGCTCTGAACTTCATGAGCTTTGTCAACTTAGCGTTGGAGTACTTGTAGACCACATTGTAGAACAAGTTGAAGCAGGTCTTCACTAATGGAAAACAGAACTTCTTCTTGGGTGGAATACTCATCACCATGCAAGCCATCAAGATCTTTATTTCGTAGTACAACCGCATTTCAGCAGACAAGCCGGGGTTCTTGTGGTCGGCCTTTGTGGTTAGGAGTTCAGCAAGAGTCAACAATTTGGATCCGTTGCATTCAACAGCGGCTGGCTTGAAGTGGGTGACTCAATACTATACTGAGTTTAGACATATTCTTTTTGTGACAGATATTTTAAATCAAACACATACTTTCTCTATTTTTGCAAAACTTTGGGAGCGTTCAGCCCTCTTCATATTGCTGATGATACCATTTCCATTGCAAAAGAGCTTACAGAAATATCTCTTAAGCCCTCTAATGATGCTTTTTCTGACTATATCAGATCTGACTGAATGTTCTTCTAGGTGGAAGTCATTGTCTTTTGAGCAGGTGAAATCTTTTCCCGATTCCTGATAATTCTTCAAACAAGCTGGAGAAGCTTCTTCAGTTAGGATTTGGAACTTCCTGATTTGTATCACATTCTGGTCTAACTGAGCTAGTGGCTGGGTATTCTTTTTGTCTGAAAATCTTAGATGCACTGGTGAAGTTTCATATCTAAGCTCAACACTGTTATCTAACTCCCCATCTGTGATAGCAGGGATGCTCTCTGAGAGAGGTGGTAGTACTTCTATAAAATGTAAGAATAATGCCCCACAATCCATACAAAAATATCATTAGTTAGGTATTGAGAAGAATTCCTCCTTCTTAAATTCTGGACAATGACTAGGATAGTCGATATAAATATGATAATATGATGTTAATAGAAACAAATTGTATGCCAAAAGCAGAAGCATAGTAAGATGTAACAAGTCAGAGAAGATCAGGCTTCTAAAATTAGAATAACAGCAAATTAAAGAGTATAAAACTTATCTGAGCAAGAACAATGATATAGAAAGAAGATTGCTTATTTATGTCACTACTATGGACAGACTCATAACCTCTCGTAATCTTTCTAATAAATTTGTAGGGTTTTATCGTACTTCTAAATATTTCAAATTTTAATATTCCCAAAAAGGAAGCCAATTAAAATATCAGATTCCTAAATTAATGGTAAACTAAGATAACCTAAAACCTAACTCGGATTCCGAAATAGACATTTTGGGAGGCAAATATTCATGTTAAAACATGCACAGGCATCTGCTACTTTAAGCAAAGTATCAAGTTATCCAGCCATTATTATAAAATTCCAATTTAGTACGATCAGGATAAAACATCAGGTTGCAAGTTTTAGATACTTCATAGTCTTAAGAAAAGGGCTGAACAATTCGAAGAATCTAGCTCTAAGAGTGGCATGAATTAATAAGAATCACTCACCTGAGTAATCAAGCTCATGCTCTTTCCAGTTGACCAAGGGGTCTTCTCCAAGACACCTCTCTTCCTGCAATAAGTAAAGCTCCTTCTTCGAAATACAAGGTGGGGAGAACAAGTTGCTTGTGTCATTCATTGGGAAAATGACTATAAAATGCTTTGAGACATAATCGTAGGCCGGACTGCTAGATTTTGAAGGTACTTACTATTAAAAGAAATAATCAAATATTATATTTGAAAGTTCAGCTGTTGAGAGATATTATGGGGTTTTGGGGTTTTGGGGTTTTGGGGTTTTGGGG